GAACGAACGAACGAACGAACGAACGAACGAACGAACGAACAACCAAATGAAGTAGAGAGAGTCGAATATAAAAACGTGATACTGAGACGAACTAATAGAAAGGGACCAATACTGCTGATACCGTAAACCTTGAAGACTGAGCTTAGCCTAGAACTATCGGTATTTTGAAATATGCATTATATTGGAGTAAACTGAATTCTAACACTATATAAGCTTATAACTTCGAGTGGAGAGAAAATGCTCCGTAGTAAAGTTTGAAGGAAACTTTACAAGAAAATTTAGTTTGATGCGACATTGTACGACTAGAACTCATTCAAGTACAAAAATGCAAAAAAAAAAAGTGTTCAAAAAATAAAATAAATTTGATGGAAAAAAATATGCCCAAATGGTGCACTGACGCGATTAAGCTGCCCTCGAACTTATTTCAAGATAAGCTACAATTAGCATTATTATCTAATTGAGTAGTGTTTTGTACCAAAACCACGAAGGTATAACTGAACAAGATGGTGGAATCAACGATAAGAATTTACGCAAGCTTTACCTTAAGTTCCAGAGACGATCTCCAAGTGACTATCAGCAAGCAAAAGTGGGAAATGTGGTAACTTTTGCAAGCGAGCTGCCTTTTAAAGCCGTGTGATTCTTTCATTAATATTTCATGTAGCTAGGAATCGAGCTAAAACTTAAACACTTATCTCTAACGATATCTTTATAATGAAGGCCGTGCTTCCTCGGTTTTCACTTGATAACACTCTTATCTAAATGTGTCCAGAGTTTTAGAAGGGTTTTTGGTGATATTTGTCAGCTAATTAGCAAGGAGGTGCGGGACGTGGGACTAATTATCTTTGGCTTAACTGATCAAGAAGTAGTCGGTTCACCAAAGAACTTATTACCATTCCTTTGTCATTTCTTTTGAAATAAATCTACAAATTCCATGKGTTTTATTTCGCCGAAGTAATCACAAAACATACCTAATTGTATTTGCAATAATTGTTGGATTAAGGTCAGAAAATTTAAGAAATGAATAGGTCTTAAATTATTGATTTTTTTAATCATCATTTTCACGGGATTTTGTCTTTTGGATTCTACTGGTCAGTTGCTGAGTCGTAAATGTAAAAACCTTGTGTAAAAACCTTAAAGATAATGTGCTGGCTTTAATTAAAGAGGTTTTAATGAAGATATGTTCGGTGTTTTGAATGATAGCTCATTATTGGCTTGAAAGAAGTTGGCATATTTTTCAAAAAMTGAAAGATCACTGGCAAAAAATGCACAGTAGCTTTTAGCTACAAGGTCCATTTTCAAACGAAAGTGGGAGATAAAAAGTAGTGAAAATGGAAGAACAAACGAAAGAGAATAAATGGATGAATGAGTCAATGAATACAAGTGTGAATACAAGGAAAGAAAGGAAGAAAGAAAGAAAGAAGGAAAGAAGGAAAGGAAGAAAGAAGGAAAGGAGGAAAGGAGGAAA